GCAGAGGATCGACGAGAGGTAGAGGAGGAGGAGGAGGAGGAGAAGGTGGTGGAGGAGGGGGAGGATGAGAAGGAGGATGAGAAGGAGGATGGCGGGATCGAGGGAGGAGGAGGAGGAGGTGGTGGAGGAGGGGGAGGATGAGAAGGAGGATGAGAAGGAGGATGGCGGGATCGAGGTGCAAGATTCGTCGTCCGAGTGTCGGTCCACACCTTTTGGCGTTTTTTTTTTTGTTTTTTTTTTCAAATGCGGACTGGTTTTCGAAATTTCGATTCATGTGTGTCATCCTTGCGCATGGGCCATGATAATCTTCTTTGTATCGTTCCAACGCGGGATTGAGGTACGAGGGAGAGGAGGAGGAGGAGGTGGAGGAGGAGGTGGAGGAGGAGGTGGAGGAGGAGGATGACGGGATGTGACTACAGATAAACTTGATAAACGTGCGACGAAGAGGAGGAGGGGGAGGAGGAGGAGGAGGAGGAGGAGGAGGAAGAAGAGGAGGATGACAAGATTGAGGTGCAAGATTCGTCAAAAGTTTCAAAACTCAGGAATCGGGATTGAGGTACGAGGAGGAGGAGGAGGAGGAGGAGGAGGAGGATGGTAGGATGGACGAAAGATCAAGATGCGAGGAAAAGGAGGAGGAGGAGGAGGAAGAGGAGGAGGACAGGGTGAAAGGAAAGGAGGGCGGACTTGACGAGGTGGAGGAGGAGGGGTAGGGGGAGACAGACGTGGAAGTTTTTGTTTTCTTTTTCAGATGCAGACTAATACTCGATTCATGCGTGTCATCCTWGTGCATGGGCCATGATAATCTTCTCTGTATCGTCCCAACGCGGGATTGAGGTACGAGGGAGAGGAGGAGGGTGGCAGGATTGAGGCGCAAGATTCGTCAAAACTCGGGAAACGGGATTGAGGTAGGAGGAAGAGGAGGAGGAGGAGGATGGGGGGGGGTAATTTGGATAAACGAGAGATAAAGGTGCGAGGAAAAGGAGGAGGAGGAGGAGGAAGAGGAGGAGGAAGAGGAGAGGGGGTCGGACTTGACAAGGGGGAGGAGGAGGGGGAGGGGGAGAGAGTGGAAGAAAAGTAGGGCCTTCGACCTGCTTTTCTTCCTCTCTGTCCCCCTACCTCTCCTCCTCCTCATCATCATCATCTTCCTCCATTTCGTACTCTTTCAGATGCTGTTTTTGTTTCTTTTTTTCCCCTGTTAAGAATTGCGACAATTGTCTACCCCATCCCCCCCCCACTAACGTATTCAAAATTTTCGACCCCATGGAGGGTGGGGAAATGCTGTCTTTTTTTTTTTTTTTTTTTTCCCTGCGAAGATTTGCCTGCCCTCACCCCCCCACCCCCACCCCCACCTCCTCTTCCTCCTTGCGTACGTTTCCAGGAAATTGAACTTGCTGTCCCATTGAGGAGGGCGGGGTTGGGTTGGGTTGGGGTGGGCGGGGGGGAATGGCAATGCCGTGGACCACTGTTTTTTTTCTGTGAAGATTCATCGACCTCCCCCCCCCGAAGTCCCTGTTCTGCTGCACAGCAACCCCGAGAGAGAGAGAGAGAGAGAGAGAGAGAGAGAGAGAGAGAGAGAGAGAGAGAGAGAGAGAGAGAGAGAGAGAGCAGCGCACTTAGAAATGATCTGACACCCCTTGCTTGCTGTTCTGCCGCATTGTCGTCAACTTGTCGCCAGACGCGCCACCAAATTCGGGATGCCTAAAGCAGGTGCAGATGTGATCAAGCGCCACTTTGAGAATGTTGGAGTGCATGGGGAGCCGGGGAAAGGGAACTACATATGGAAATGCCTGTATTGCGAACTGTTGTTCCCTAGGAGCGCAAAGCACTTCATGTCCACG